GAAATCTTTTGAGAGATAGAAGTGCGATTACAATAATTATGACCGTGCCGCTGATAACTTATCATCAAAGGCCAAGGTGCGGTGAAAGTACAACCATGTTTCACTTTATTTTATTTTTCACTCTTTCTTGAAAATGGGCGCGTCATTTTTAGCCTTGAAATAAGGTTTTATTTTTTTCTAATAAAGGCGGAGTTCACCCATCCTCTGGATATCATGTCGTCTGTATACGTTTTGCTTTAATTCCTTTTAAACATTAAAAATGACAGGAGATGAAGTGACCGGGGATGAAATGACCGGGGATGAAGTGACCGGGGATAAAATGACCGGGGATGAAATGACCGGGGATGAAATGAACGGGGATGAAATGAACGGGGATGAAATGACCGGGGATGAAGTGACCGGGGATGAAATGACCAGGAACCGGGGGGATCAGTTGTAGTTAATAATAATAATAATAATAATCTTTATTATCCGTATGGAAATTTCTCTTACAATTTGTGCATTACACCAAACAAAAAACATTATAACTATAAGAAACCAAAGTGTTCATTCACACCAGACTCGCTTATAATTTACATGTGACAAAGTTTATACCAGATTGTTCTTATATAATGATTGTAGTTGTAAATCCATTTTTCAATAAAAACAAATTACATTCTTATCAATGTTTCACAAATTGTAATATATTTTTTTTTAGGTCTCAAGAAAACATCGTTTCATCTTTTAAGTTTTTAAAACATTTTTCCAATTTCACGAGAGCAAAAAGTCCAACTCAGAATATTTTTTTAGTAGATTAGTTATTACGTCTCTCCTATAGTGCGATACTCAACTCTCTCATTGTCAAAACGTTGCGCATGGTTGTTATCGATATTAGAGAGACAAAATAATGCCCGTTGCGATGAGAGCTCTTCCTTAATTCGAAGATGATCTAATAATGACACGCTCAGTGCACAGGTTAGTGTGCTATTTGTACGGCGAATGTCCCTCGCCTTTGAGTATAATCCAGTGCCAATTCTTTCCGGTTTTTGTTTTTTTGTCGTTTGTTTGTTGTTGTTTTTTTGTTTTTTTTTTTGCTGTTGTTTTTTAGCTAAGACGCCTCAGGAATACATTTCTGCAGTTCACAATACAGGAAAATGCTTGACTCTTGGGTTCCGTCCCGTACTTTGCTGGGTGCGCTTTAGGCGTTATTCTAAGACCCCGCCCCCTCCCCCCAGCTAAGAGTGGCGTCACTGGAAAAAGAAACAACATCGCGGTAGTGATTGAGTTTTCGATATGCATTCATGTTTATTCCAATAGCACCCCCCCCCCCCAAATACACAAAGTAGTAGGTCCAACACTGGGATGAAAGTTAGTTTCAAATATTATAGACTAATCAAGAAGTTCAAAGTTCGCATATTATTACGACCTAGACAGTGGCGTACCAACCGTGGCGTGAAAAGTTTCATCGCAGCAGGCGTATGACCAATGTGTATGTATCATTAAGAAACAGCCAAAAGTTTAGAAATAGATGCTTTTGTTTCTGAATTTGCTAATTAAAAGGCTAAGTATCATACCCATTCATAAAATAAAAAGTTGGCATCTACAGATAAAAAATGGTTTATCATAGCACTATAAGATGAAATTGTTCACGAAATGTTTATTTACGCTACAAGAAAAAAATTAAATCAAACATTTGTTTCTTAATAGCTATACGTGATAGTAGGCTATATTACTTTTAAAGAAGTGGCACAGGCTTTGAGTGTCATCACACTTGTAAGAGTCATGACTACATTGTGTAAAATGACACTATTTCTTGTAAACGGTGAATGAAGCGTGGTCGAGAGGCTTAGAAGGGGGCTCGAGGTTCGACACTCGACTCGGGCAGAGTTGTGTTTACTGAGCGCCTAAAGGCAGCACAGATACCCCCTCCCACAAATGAGATTGGACCAAAAGCGCTCTGAGCATGCTACAAGCATGAAAGTAGCGCTATATAAAAGCTATAATAATAATAAAAAGATGATACATTAGAATGTCTCTATATATTCTATATTATATTCTGTTTCATCAGTGTTTCCCAAACTTTGTCCTTATATGCAAAAAACGCTGCTCCAAGTAGCCTAAGTTGTTGAATATTTGGTTCTGTTATACAGAAATCGAAGGAGACGTACAATGATCTGAGCAGACGACATACAGTGAATGTTAACTTTAGTGACGCTACGGCTCACCTAATGAGGTTATCGAATAGAACAAAACGAAGTTTCCAAATAGCAATGCATGTTTGTTTCACATGTTTCCGATATTCCTTCCGAATTGAAGATTAGGCCTACACGCTAGCCTAAACCTCCTGCATGAGGGCGGGGAAGACGACCGACAGTGTTCGAAGCCGGGACAACTAGATGACAGTCCGGATAGCACAACACGCGACCAGGAAAGGCATCCTTGATGGCACGCCTTCTCTACACGCATTAGATAATACTGTTTTTAAATTGCCAACTTTATGAGAGAACATAATTTATATCAAAGTATATTTTAAGAAAACAAGTAAAAATGAAATATTTAGATCTCTAGTAAAGATGAAAAAAAAAAAGCATAACTTACTGGCCCACGCTAATTTTGTTATTTCTCAGATCTCGGATTTGAATTCTGACAGCGCTCAATACGTTGGTCAGATCTCTGTTGTAGATTTTTGTATTTTCTACAATACCTCACCCTTTTTGAATTATTAATTGTGCAGTTACGCCCAGCGTTAGCTGGATTCGTTGTTGCTGTTTTTTTTTTTACATTGGTCATTTCATTGATGCATATGATAGGTGACATTTTGTTATTCAGATTTCGACATATTTTATCTATTAACATCATTAATCTATCGACAGAATATTTTCAAAATAGATAATGTAACGTTTGCGCATATATTTACACAGTGGCTTATAGATTTTAAAGACATATGCTGTTTAGATAAAGGGAGGGACTAGATATTTCATAATAAAAATTCTTTTTTTTTGGGGGGTGGGGGGGGGCATTTTCAACTTTTTAGTACAAAGCTTACCGCTAAATTAACTTACTCTGTCAGTCTCTTTTGTCTGGTAACAAGTTTGTACACGTTATTTTTCCGACACCCAACCTCGAATCAAGCTGAAATTGGGCACAATTATTTCTTTGACCTGACAACGCAAGAATTGTTATGACTAAGGTGGTGGAATAAGCTGAATTAGTCCTCTTTATACGTTTAGATAACTAAACAATGTCAGTTTGATGAGGCTTGAGTCATGAGTTAGCATTCGAATCGTCCCCCCCCCCCTCCTTTTTAAAAAAAAGATTTCAAGTTACGTTGTAAGGTTCTCTCCCTGTCAGGTTTTAATTAGTCTCTTCACACTCCACCCCATTAATCTTCTTTTCTATGCGGCTTTCTTTTAATGCTCTCTTAGAAAAAAAAGACCCCACTTTTTCTCACATTAAGAAGAGCTTCAAGTTTTCGACAAGCCAGTGTACGCCTCACTTTAAAATGTCAAATTTCTGATCTCTATCATTTGTGATTCCTCTCTGTAAGGTGCTGACAGATTAAAATAATATGGCTTCCTGCAGTCGCGAAGCGACTATGCATCTCATATGTATCAATTTATGGATGATAAGATGAATGCCTGGGCATTAGATGTCGTCAGAACGATGTCGCCTGCATATCAGTTCCCCCTTCTCCACGTAGCTGATGTATCCAAAGGAGCAGTGCAGATACAGTTTGTGGTCAGCTGGTTTTAGCTGCAAGGCAGCAGATTTTTGAATTCAGAGTTTTCCTATTGGAGAACAAAGGAGAAAAGACAGGGTTACGAAGAAGGACACAAAGGATCATTTTAATAGTAAGGTTCGCAAAACATTTGTTGTGAAATGTCATCCAATACGATATTCGGAGTACTGTATCTGTATAATTAGACGAAGGGACATTTTATAGCGGTTTGCCATTCGTACAAAGAGCTGTATTGAACTCTGTGCAGATTTTGTTTAAATTTTAACATGTGATGTGAATGCCTCTCAATAGCAAGACGATTTCTCTTTGTGTTGTCCACTGAGCGTTGCTTAGCGAAACCGCTCTTTGAACACAACTATTTTCTCCATTTTAAAAAAAAAAAGTCCAGATCTTGAATAATTGTGATTGACATGTATCTTTTGAACACATACTAACATATTATAAAGATGTGTGTCACATAACCTGTTTTTCCGTATTTACAAGAGAGTTTGTATGAAACCGGAAGATACTAAGGACTGAGCTCAATTGATGGATAAAATACTAGGGCCGTATCGGTGAAAGCCGGACATTTTTCAACTTAAGCCAAAAAAAAAAGAGGACGCGTCTCCTTTTGCTGGACGTCTGGAAACCCTAACTATACTATTCATGACTGATGCTATGAACCAACCCTTGTACCAACAATCGTTAAATCTAGATTTTTAGATGAAAAGAAACTTTTAAATATGCATGAGGATGTTAACTATCATTTGTATTTGTGTTCATGGGGATTTTTATAAATGTAGTCACAGATGGACAGTTTTGATTTGCTATGTATTTTCAAAAAGTATACATTTGCATGCACCATTTAGTACTGAAGAATCCTACTTTCAAACTGTTCCTTTTGTAATAAATATTTGGTTGGCTCTAGTGATGTTCCATAGTTTCATTGAATGTAGAAATTGAAAGGGATAGAATATAATTTTTAACGAAAAAATTCTACTTTATGTTGCAATAATAATGTGAACTAAACATTCATCTTTTATTTTATTAATTAGTCTAAACTTTTTTTATGGGGGTAGGGTGAGTATAATCGAAAGTAATATTACTGATACTCAGTACTAAGAAAAAATACAATAAAATTGTTAGTTTATTTTAGTCTTTAGATGAAACATCAGGCTTTAACATTCAATTTTTTCTTTATTAAATTAATTAAGATACCTTTCTGAAATTTCAATTATGTGTGGCACAAATTTAGATGAGCAATTTCAGAGGATATTTAAAAGTAGTAAAATTAATTATTGAAATCATTCATTTTTGACTATGACAAAGGTGTAAATTAATAGTAGGAATTGATGTACATAAAAATTCTAGCAAATATGTATTAAAATAATTTCTTCCTGAAGAAGAGTTTAACAAACAAAATAAACAATAAAATAAGCAACTGTATTTATTCCATCAACTATGAACATTATCACAAATGAGGCTATGAGGTTACCAACACAGAAAGTAGTACAAACTAGAGCCTCAAAGCAACTTATCATTAGCTGTCTCAGAATATTGACAATAATATGAGAAATGTCTACATGTTGGATTTCTCTTTAATCACATTTCATGGTTTTCTTGTCGATAACAATTAACAATTCTAAAACAGTAACGTCTTTTTATAATAAATGTATATATATGTATGTTTGGTGGGGACCTAAAAAGTAAACAGTTTCAGATTTAAATGATTTAATAAACAATTATCTGTGCCAGCCAAAAAAAAAAAATGACAACAAAATAGAATTAGTCCAAAAATAACAAGAAGAGAAAGTAAAATCACAACTTTGCAATAAAAATATGAATAAATTAAGAAATAAAAAAAAAAAAAAAAAGTATATAAAAAAAAATTCAACAAACTTAACTTGTATTTACTGAGGAGAACGAACCCAACTTCATTAAATATTCATTAAATGGCAGAACTATCAGGTCTGAATTGGAGACACCAAGCTCTATGAGAGATGTATTTACATTATGAACAGAGTGCTGGAAGTCAACAAAGTCCTCTTTCCTCAACATGTGAACACTGAAACTTTTGGCTTCATAAAAATGTGAAATATAGAAGAAAATGAAAGAAAACTCTCTGCTGGTGACTTTTTAATGACCGGCATGTACGAAACAAAAATTATTATTTCCAATAAAATGGTGTCTGAGGAAAACAACAGGTTTAAGTGGTAATAATTAAAAATGGCATTAATTAGGAGTTCACATATAGCAGTAGCAAATGTTCTGATTGACAAGACAGAGGTAACAAGCTTTTACAATTGTATTGCAAACATTTATTTTACTTAACTACTGGGAGGGTAAATAACACTTTTGTTCAATTTAGGGGAAATGTGAATATAGCTTAAAATTGATAACACAAATGCATATATAGGATCATAGTGCATGCCACAAACATGAATCACTGAAACTTCAATTTAGCAAATGTTTTTTATTAATCTCTATTGATATCCTACCAACAGCTAATTCTATGAATAGGACCAAGACACTGGGCTTTATTAAAGGGATCGCATCACTTGGAGATCTTTTTTTTTTTTATTGCCAAGCTACCTTACTTAAATGTTAGGACAAGTTTTCATAAAACAAAATAATAGGTTAATAGACATACCGGTACCTTATTGTAATTGTCAGTATTTTGTTCATCTCTACTGTAATATTCTAATTTAGCTAGGGTTTCAGTGCTGACAGTTTTCAAGAATGAAACCTCAGACTGTATAATAATAACAGTAATGATACTAGGTCAAAACAAGCAGCTAGATGGAAGGTTGGTTGAACCTTAACTCCAGAAGATTTTTGTTTTTCTTTCCCTTCTTATCAGTTAACAAACAGCAGTAAATACCGTGAGTCCAGAACACTTGCCAATTCACATTAAGCAACACAACACTGTATGACTTGTGAAATGATAAGGCAATGTCTGGCTGAGTCTAACAAGTCCACGAATAGCAGAGATGAAGATTACTGTATACAATAGTGTCACTAAAGCCAATGGTGGTGTTCACTCTCCAGCCAATGTCAGTTGGCCTCCAGCAGCTCAGGTGGAGTGGGTAACAGAGACATGAAGAAGGACTGAATGGTAGTGCATACAAACAACAAGGCCCCATAAACCCTGTTTCCTTCATTCACTTGCTCTGCTTGTGCATCTTGCTGAGCATCTTCATTCGGAGTTTCAGTTCTCGGCTCTGGCTGAAATAAATAAATACATAGATCATAGTTCAAAGTAATAGCCATTAAAAGTGATAAAACATTTATTCGAACAAAGTTTCTGCCTTCTTCTTTAGGGATGGTAGTGAAGAGGTGGCAGAGTAGCAAAGTGCTTCACTTCTGAACCGAGAAGTTTCATGTATAAATCTAGGTGAAGACCTAGATTTTGAATTTTAGTTTTTTTTTAGGACGCCCTTGAGTCCACCCAACTCTAATGACTACCTGACATTGGTTGGGGAAAGTAAATGCGCTTGGTCATTTTTCTAGCTACACAACATCATTGATAATTGTTGGCCATAGAAACAGATGACCATTACATCTGCCCTATAGATTGCAAGGTCTGGAAGGGGAATTTTACTTACATATATTTTAAATATATCTTAAACATTTAAAAAATCTTGTTTTTTTTCACACAAGTATGAATTATCTAAACTAAGAAAATTAAACAAATGTTCTGTTATAGAAAAGGCTTGGAAAACCCTGAAAATAAGACATTCTTTTATTTCAATGTTAAGGAAAATGAAAAATTCTTATAGTAAGAAAACAAAATGTAATGATAAAACATGCTAAATTGGGTCTCATCAACATTATTATTATCTCTAACTATTAGACATGTAGTAATTTTATTCAAAACACCCCATTATTGATGAGTTCATTGGAAAATGTGACAAAAAATACATGACATTTTTATTCAGTGAAAAACATTCCAAAACCTGATATGACCCACCCTGAGTGCACTAACCTCATTATCTGAAGGATTTCTTTCTATATTTGGCTCAGCTTGGTCAGGTTGCTGCTGCTGTTGTTGCTGTTGTTCCTGTCGTTGTTGCTGTTCTCTTTGTGCCCTCTGCCAATATTTTCTCAATTTCTGGAGTCTAAAAAATGAAATAAAAGACATGCACACACAAAAAAGTTGCTGATTTATGGAAAGAAATTTTAGGGGTTGAAGCAGCTACTTATGAACTCCATCCTCACAATAGAAAATCATAATAAAGATTTGTTTAAAACTATCTTTATCTAAGCCCAGCCTTATATTTTAACCTTAACCAATCAATAAATTTTTTATTAAAAATAACTTGATAACTACAGATAGATTTAACAATTTAACGCCATCCCAAGACCTCGTGTAGGAAATACGATCTCATATTCTTTTTTTATTTCTATGCTCACATTATAAACCTTTATGTGTGTTACACTTAAAAGTGAATAAACAAGACTGTTTTAGTGTATGATACAAAATATTACAATTTTACTTGCAACAAGATGTAACCTAAATCAAACCAAAAAATATTTCAAGTAAAGGTACTTACATATAAATTGAAATGGATCCAGCAAAGACAACTAAGAACCTAGTCAAGTTGGAGTAGAAGAACAGGATACCCATGAAAGTGAGGAATCGCATAAAGAAGTAAACATGATGTAGCCAATCCCTTGGCTCCCCTTCTTCTTCATCATCCTCCTCCACACCACCCTGGGCATTCATTCTCACATTAGCCCTGGCGGCCTGGCCAGCAGCAGGAACCTGCTGTTGAGGCTGTGTCTGTCTGTCAGTATTTGTGACTGGCTGGGGTGCAAAGTTTGGAGGAAACATTTGACCAGCATAAGGTAATCCTGAGTAGTATGCAGCCTGATAGCTGTTGAATAAAGGTAAGATGAACACTGCATTCTGTGAAATTAAACAATCAATCATAACACATTAATCTCTAGGCTAAAAGGCGCATCCAACTGATTTATATATTTTGTTTTATGCCTCTTTTGTTTTATCATCTGCTCTTAATTCATTCATTAAATGAAGATGGGCTTTCCAGTAACTTCACTGCCATCTTATCTTTTTTCTTCTTTAAACATTTTCAAGAGCATATAACAATCAATTCAACAAATTTATTTTTTTGGGTTCTTTTTCTCTTTCTTGTGCTTTTTGCAATATAATTATTTTTAAGTTGAGTTACAAACTTCTTCAAAATGTAAGCTGTATTCATCTTTAAATAATTCTTGATTTTTTTTTCAGTTTGATTTAAATAACTGATATTAAGAGAGAAAAATCTAAACTATAGGCATTTTATCTGAAAGTCAAATAAGTTAGTAATTTGAATTTTATTTTTGCAGATGTAAAGAGCAAGCAACAGCAAACTATATGTGCCTTATTTTTATCAATCTTATAAAGCCATTTAGTAAGAATCATCATGGCTATTGTTGAAGCGCCACAAAATCAGAAACATCTATCAAGAATGTGAATTCTTGTTCAGCTAGGATATGACACAAATACCTTTAGCTTAACAGCAATGTATTAGCCATTGAATGTTAAGGGTTAAGTTAGTCTAATGGACCACATTTAAAAATGTAAATGTCTAAGGAGCATGTAGAACTGACCATGTCATTGACCTATAGGGAACATTCAGATATAACATGATGCAAACAAATCCCCATATTAACCCATTTCCCCCGCTAAGTCACAAATTTCACTCGTCTATCCATTCCACCTCATCGCCCACAGCAACAAGGACTGAAAATTCTCAGAAATTTCAAAAAAGTTTTATAAAAACCACTCAAAAGTAAAGAACGTTTAGCATTCTTGAAGTTACTTCTGTATTTTGGAAGTTCCTTTACCTTTGTGATTGCTTGCAATTAGCTTTAGACTGTCAATAGGCACAAATATACTAAATTTTGATGATTTTACAATTTCTAATTGATTTAGGTTTGTTTTGTTTAGTGTTGGAAATATTTCTGATTGATGCAATAAACATATTTTAAAAATATTTTTTATCATTTATTGACACTTTATATTTACTTAAAAACTTTTTACTAAGAGCAAATGAAGACTGAAATCATAATGAGCAAAAATTTGTATTTATCCAAAAATCTGGTACATTTATTATGTGTGTTTTTATATTTTTAAACTTTTCATTGCTACTTGTTATTTCATTTGAATAGTTAACAAGAGTGTCAATAGCCAGCAAAAGCAAAACCATTAAATATGACACTATGAAACAAAAATGAAAATCTTACTATTGCATATACTGCATCATGTACTGTGAATAAGCATAGTTCTGCATCATCCAGGCATACTGTTCAGGTGAGTAGTGGTATTCAGGGTTCATGATGGTTACTTGTTCTTGGAAAGTATTTGTATTGTGGATATTATGTGGCATATGCTGTCTGGATAATAAATTTAAAAAAAAAAAAATTTGTTGCAAAAATTAAGTGAATTTAGTTTTTACATGCACACTTTAAGTACACAAGGACTCTAAAATAACAGAAGTTATTTTATTTTTTTATTGCAGGCTTGAGGTTGTTTATTCATTGTTTCCATTTATTGCTAATAATAAACATCTTTTACTATCTTAATGCACATTATTGCTAAGCATTTTCTTGAAACCATATTGATTATCATTAACAGTTTTAGCACTGAGTGCATTCAAATTTAATTGAAGTAAACTAGAATGGTGCATATGTTAATTAGCTAAGTTCACAACAAGAGCTAATATTAATATTATTGCTAAATTTAAAATGACTAGGCTCTACAACATAAAAAAAAAATTGATGGAAAGAAGTTATAGTTACTATTATTCACACACACACAAAATAAATACAAGGCAATAAATTTAAAAGCTGATTTCATTTCAATCCTCAGAGAGGATGACT